CCATGGCCTACATCTTACTATTCCTGTTTGGATTTATTATCATATCCAAACCAAAGATACTTTAGTGAAGTGTAAGGTCATATTCCACATTTTTCTCTGTAGTTGTCTTTCCTTTTCATACTGGAGCCCTGAAGTTAAACTGTTGAAGTTGGCAGTGGCTTTCCACACAGTAACTCCTATGTCTCAAGTTAGCTAAAATGGTGTCTGTCTTTCTCAGTTTGTTTATCTGCATATAACCAAGGCTTAACATGAGAAACATTTCACAGGAGGAATGTACTTTGCAGGTTTTCAGGTTAGTCTTTTTATGGGGAAAGTATGTCTTTTTTGGCTCTACTTTTTTATTCATGTTGTAACTCAGGGTAGTGTTATAACTCCTACGTAGAGCTTGAGCTAGGAAAATACCCTGTGGCCAAATTATTTGTGGTTCTAAGCATGTTTTGATATAGCCGGATATCTAGTGGCACTCAGTTGCCAGGTTCTTGGAAAGGTAGGGGAGCTAAACTCTCGCTATAAAAATCAGGTCCTGACTATTCATATCATTTGAATAGACCTAAAACATGAAGAGTTATTTATGGAAGTATGTATTCAAGCAGCAGAGACATAGTTTTAGTGGGACTTTTTAAAAAAATCCATCTTTCTTGAGAAGGGCTGTATATCAGGAGCTTCCTGACATTTCTCAGTAGGGCTGGGGAACTGATCCTGTTTAGTATAGATGTGGTACCTTCTAGAAGTATTTGACTACAGCTTCTGGGAGTTATATTCCAGCATATTTAGAGGCCATCAGATGATGAAGGGTGGATGCACAATACACAATACAGAAGACTCTTTCTCCTGATGTTTACTCCCTTTACCTAATTCATAGTGTCTGACACGCAGTTGTTTCATATTATCTTTAGCAGCAAATACAAATAATGTTGCCATCACATTCATTGGGCTTGTGTGTGCTGCGGTAACCAGTAAATCTTGTTCAGTAAGTACCAGATCGTTATAAGTTGGCTTTGTTATTCACTCCATTAATATCAATCATGATTGATGTTTCTGGTATTCATATTCTATTGGTCTAATTCTCTAGGAATTCTATGGTAATCTATCATTTACATGATGGGTTATTATGCCAAAAAATCTTAAGCATGTGCATTTATAAGAAGGGAGTATTCCAGTGCACAAGACAGTCTTAAAAGAAAGTGTCGGACAACTGCTGAACTGAAATGCTACAAGTTCTTCACTTTTATTATGTGTTTCCCTCCTTTTAAAATACAGTTTTTTCTTTCTGAATATTTTCTGTATTAAGCCTTTCATTCCAGTGAACATGCTGTGAAACAGTATGTAGGAGATGATAGCACATTCTGTAAATTGTCCTTGGCAACAAAATAATTATATAATGGATTTAAGAGGCAGTATTGCTAATGTTGGCACATTGTTTTCATATTTTCAAATTTTATGTTTTTAATTGTATAATAATTGTATTACTATAGAAAGGAGCTTAAGGATGGATACAAATCTAAAATATAAAAATGAAGGACATTATTCAGTGATTTGACAGAGAGAGATTTAGGCTGCAATCCTTTACACATTGTACTAAATCTTACGTGTGTTTAGAGAAAAAAGTCACACAGCTCCCAACATTCCCCAACCAAAATGGTGTATTCTGTGAAATGCAAAAAGTTGTATGACTTTTTTCTATCTAAATATGTGTACGATTGTACCTTAATTCCCACTGAGCTTTCTTATGCTTTCTTGTGAATATAGGATTGCACTTTTTAGCGCATTTAACTCTCCCATCAGCAAACTGAAATCACTTGGATACAAGGGCCCAACATGACTGGATCATGCCATGCTAATTATAAATAAAAGTTAGTGTATTAACAGTGAATCATACATATAAATTGGTGAGTATGGTGGGAAAAACAGTACAGTTTTGCATTACTCAGCTCAGAAGAACTGTCCACTGAAACCAGAGACATTGTAAGAAAAGAATGCCAAAAACATTTCTTGTAGCGAAAAGAAAGAAAAAGCCTAGATGGATGACAAAAGAAGCACTCACTGTTGCTAAGGACAGGTGAGAAGCAAAAGATTGCAGAAAAGGGTCAGAATTCTAAATGCAGTTTTCCAGTGACTATCACATAGAGGGAAAGAGTGCTATTACAATGTCCTGGGAAAAGATGTAGAAGAGATCAAGAAATTCAGAAAAAGAGGAGACCTCTTCCAGAAGATCCAAGAAGTCAAAGTGAAATTAAAACCTAGAATAGGAATGCTAAAAGACAAACAGGGCAACAAAGAAGAAATAGGGGGGACAAACACTATCTGATCAGGAAAAAATTAACTGAAAGTGGAAGGATATACAGAAGAACTATACAGAAGAGATGAAAGGATGATAGACTCCTTCAAAGAGGAATTTTAGAGAAGAATTACAGAACTTCACTGCTAAAAATGAAGAAATTTAAATAGTGAAAGATTTTACATACCTTGAATCAGTCATTAACTCAAATGGAGGCTGTAACCGAGAAATTCAAAGAAGACTGAGACTTGGAAGGTCAGCAATGAAGGAGCTGGAAAAGATGATCAAATATAAGGACACCACTGGACACCAAGGCCAAGAATATCCATGCTGTATTCTGTATGGTATTCCATAATACAATACATATTAGATTGCATTGTATGGATACGTATGGACACTGAAAGAAGCTGACACAAAGAAAATTGATGCATTTGAACGTGGTGCTGGAGGAAAGATTTGTAAATACCCTGGACCAACAGAAAGCCAAACAAATGGGTCCTAGATTAAATCAAGCCAGTGTCTTAGAGGCAAAACTGAATCTGTCAATTTGGGCACATCACAAGAAGGCAATAGTCCCTGCAGAAGACAGGATAGGGAAAGTCAAAGGCAGAAGAATAAAAGAAAGACCAAATATGAGATGGCTTGACGCCATAAAGGAAGTCGCAGTCTTGCACTTACGAAGATGAGCGAATTTGTCATCAATGGGATGTTCTGGAGGGCATTCACTCATAGGGTTGCTGTAAGGTAGAGTTATGACTTGACAGCATAATAACAGCAACGGCCAATATGCAGAGTCCTTTATTTGAGTTTTGCCTGAGGTAACTGGATAACTCATAGATTTCAGGAGGTGGGGATTCCCTTATTTTGTAAATTTGGCAGCGTTGGGCATATATTTGCTGAAGCAGGCTAGCAATTGATAGATTTCTATTTAAATAGCTTTATGTTCATTTCCTTTTGCTTTGCTTTTTTATCTTGTTTCTTGGCTTTTTCTGTAGTAGAGCCTTTTCTGAAGGAATTTGGAAATGTGCTGAATCCCCTGAATGTAGCTACATTTAGTTTTTAGAGGACAAAGACTTTGGAGCACTTCATTTAAAGGGGAACTGATCTGTAGAATGCCCTCTGGCAATGTTACTGTAATACTAGTTGCTACTATGATTAGAATGATGGCAACTGTGGGATGCCCAAAGCATAGAAAAAGAGTCATAAATGTATGAGAATGTCCATGATGAGGATGTCATACCTGTGGATGCTTCCTTAAGTGGCTGCTTTCTGAGACAGTCCAAAAATGTGGTGTTCCCCATTATCTAAATTCTTGATCATTTTAAAAAAGTAGTCTTAGGAATTCCTTAGTAACTGAAGCTCTGGTAGTTTAGAATTTTTTTTCTAAATGGTACATATAGATTTCATGTATTGATTACTTATACGAAGATTTTCCTCTACCCAATTAAACGGCCAATCTTAATGTTTTGTTACAATTTTAGTGTTCTTTTGCTTCTCTTTTTCTTTGAATCTGATTTTCATCCAGGGCTTCTCAAGAACTTGATGTATATGTTGTCAAGGCAGAAGGTTATTTTTTATGATGATGTTTCCTATCAATAAAAGTACTGTTCTCAAATGCTTTAGAGTATATTTTCAGTACAGGCCATGTGGATATAATATTGATAGAGAAGAACCATAAATCACATTGAAATCTTTTGTGGATTAATGTGAAACTGGTAGTCCCAGTTGTATTGATCTTCACAGTAGTGGTAAAAATACAGTATGAACAAAAGTATGTGCTAATGTCTTTTATCCATTAATTTTCAAGTTCTTATCTGGTGCTGTATTGGTAGAATATTGTTTAAAGCAATGTAGGAACTGTTAGTATACTAATCAAACCTGTAAGTGTTTTGTTTTGTTTTGTAATTTTTCTTTAGATAGTACGTTTGGAGTTTAAGGTTTGGCTTCTAAGTTTAGTTATCATTGGTTAATTATGTCTGAGCAAGTACAGTGGTACCTTGGCTCACAAACTTAATGTATTCCATGACTCTGGTCACAACCCAAATTGGTCATGAGACAAGTCAAATTTCCCCATAAGGTTCAATGAAAACAAGGTTAATCCGTTCTGTAACTAATTTTTTAATCACAAAAAAATTGAAGCAATGTGACAAAGAACAACAAAGATCGCGGCCATCTCCTCCCCCCGCCAGCCCAACCATGATCGCACCTATCTTCCCTGCACGAGCACGACTGCGATTGTGGCCATAGATGGGCACAATCGCGGTGGCGCTTGAGCAGGGAAGACAGGTGGGATTGCAGCCATCTCCTCCCTCCAGCATGATCACAGCCATCTCCCCCGCGCCCCGAGCATGATCGTGGTTGCGCTCATGCAGGGCGCGATCATGGTCATCACCCGATGCAGAGTTCGCAAGCTGAGGCAATTTTTTAAAAAATTTCTGTTCGCAAACTGATTTGGTCATGAACTGAGGCCTTCGTGAGCCAAGGTGCCACTGTATACTTGTGAGGACTCTTGAATGATGGGGAAACATTCTTATCTACAACTATGGGAACTGTTTTAAGGCCAATGTGATAAACATATGCTGAATTACAACAGCTAGTTATTCTAATTCTTCAATTTGCTGATATATTAAAATAACTAAGCACAGCAGTTATAATCATTATTTAAATCTACTGAAAATAATTTATTAATTAAATCACATATTCCTTCTGTATCTTCCTGTAGGATGGATCATTGGGCAACATTGATGACCTGGCTGAGCAATATGCAGATTACTATAATACCTGCTTTACTGATGTGTGTGAGAGGATGGAAGAGCTTCGCAAACGAAGAGTTTCCCAAGACCTTGATATGGTAAGTGGATAAGGAATCATGCAGTCTACACACTTTTAAGAGCCCAGGAATATTCAGTGATGTGTCTAGCAATATTCCAGATCAATCTTATGTATCCTTTTGCCAACAGAAATAATCTGGAAATAGTACTCTTGTCAGTGAGAAACCCTACTTTTTTAATGATTATAAATTTATATTTGCCCTTTTACTGTCTTTCAACAGAAGTAAATATCAGCAAAAAATTGTGGAGAATGTAAAACAAGAGTAAAACTGCAAACACATATACAGAAAAAAAGGGAAAAAACAAAAGAAACCCTCTCTTTAAATAATCTTTTTACTGTGGCTCAACCCAAGCTAAAAAGTGAATGAAAAGGTGGCCAAAAGCACATTGAATGGAACAGTTCAGTAGTTTGGAGTTTAATCTCTCCTTTTCTCTGCAAATAGCTTTTTGTGCTGTTTTACAGATATTCTGGCCACCTACTCTTACCTTGGCTCTCAAAACTCAGCAGTTGGTCCCTGAAACTAACCTTGGCTTCAGTATTCAATTTCATTTTGAATTTATGTAATCAGAATTTATGTTTGCTAATCCTGTTATTTGCAGAACTAAAAATCTGGCAAAAAAGATCGCTGCTCTTCCAAGAGATGCAAGAACAGTCTATGTTGTTTATTTATAACTGACTGTTCATTCTTATAATGGCAGTGTATAGCAGGTGCAAATAATTATTGTACATTCAAAAATTATGTACATATTGTAAGCCATCTAGAAAGGCCTCGGCAGTTATAGGCGGCCTATAAATACATGTATGTATGTATGTATGTATGTATAAATAAATGTTATACAGGTCTATTGGGTACTTTCAGAAAAGCAGTATAGCAATACCATGAAGAACAAACAAACAAACAAAGACACAGTAAAAACAAAATAGACAGCGATCAAAGCAGTTGAGAGGCAGCCAGTACAAACAATCCAACTTAAAATGTCTGAACAAACAGTTTTAGTCAGGCACTGGAAGGATTGTAATGTTGCTGCCAGATGTGCCTCTGAGTGAAAAGTATTCTACAATTAGAGCATCACAGCAAAAAAGTATCACAGCTTAGAGAAAACCGTCTCTTACATATTGTAGGATGCAGGGAAGCTGATATAGGGAAAGATGTTACATTAATTAGATTATAGAAAGACTTCTACAAGAATATCGAGAAGAGTAAGACTCTTAAGAAACAATGCAACTGATAAAAAATATAGAGGATATTAAAATACAATAACTGGAGAGAAAAACCATCTCTCTATCTCTAGTCCATGTATTTTGACAACAAATAATACCAAAGTTGGAAGCTTAGAGCCAAATCCAGTGAGGCACTTAACACCTCTGCTGGCTCACATAAAACCTTCTAGTTCTGTTCTGCAATCAATCCTCACCACTTGCAATGTATGTATTTATTTACTGAGAACTTTTATATGCCGTCCCTTGTGCATGGCATCTCAGGATGGCTTACAATCATTAAAATCAAAATACAATAATTCATACAAATATAATAAATAACATATAACCAATAAAAATTAAATCAAAAGCAGCTGGTGAAACATTAAAATACTAATTTCTAAAATAATGATTGTAAAAAAAGTAGCAATTTAGCACCTCTAGAACAACCCGAAATAAGTGAAAATGTGTGTTTCTGGAAGGAGGCAGGTTGATAGCACATGTGTAAGTAAGTTCTGCCTGCCTTCCTTATTCCTTAAACAAATGCTTCCACACATTTTAGGATACCCCCTAGGAAGTTCTAAATGGCCTTTGCTTCGGTGGTGGCCTCATTTGAAAGATAGAAATGACAGGACCCACCTTTGGCAGAGTGGAATTGAAGGAAGAATAAGTACCCAGCTGCATTTTCCACTCAAGTTCTAAATCGTACTACATTAAGAAGCAAATCAGTTTAGATTTTAGGGTAAAGTGGTACCTTGGCTCATGAACTTAATCCATTCCAGGACTCTGGTCATGACCCAAATTGGTCATGAGCCAAGTCAAATTTCCTCATAAGGTTCAGTGTAAATAAGGTTAATCCGTTCTGTAACTATTTTTTAATCACAAACATTTGGAGCAAAGTAACCAAAACAACAAAGATTGTGCCCCCCCCCCCGATCACATCCCTGATCACACTTGTATTCCCTGCATGAGCGTGACCACGATTGTGGCCATAGACAGGTGCAATTGTGGTCAAGCCTGGGCAGGGAACGCAGGAACGATTGCAGCCATCTCCCCACCTCCCCCGAGCACAATCGTGATTGCCACCCGATGCGGAGTTCGTGACCTGAGGCAAATTTTTTATGAAATTTCAGTTCGCGACCCGATTTGCTTGTGAACTGAAGCGTTTGTGAGCTGAGGTATCACTCCAGTATGCAGTTCTTGTAATGATTGGGATGCAAGAGAAAGGAGTTTAATATCAAGGCATTGCTTATCTAAGTCATGGTGCTTGTTAATGTGTTGTTCTTAGATGGCCCATGTGGTTAAAGCATACAGCATGACTTACCTCTTCGAAACTGAATGTCTTAATAATTTTATGTGCCTGTGGAAAAGAACACACCATTGTTGCGAGTCCTGCATATGACAGCCTTGCAAGTGTTCTTTGAGTCACTGCCTTACTTGTCATTATCTGCTTGCACAAATTCTCTTTCAGAAATTAACACAATATAACATGCCAGATCCATGTGTCAGGGACAAACTTAATTCTTTATTACTTTCCACCCAGCAGAGAGAATAATACCAAGCTCTTTGGGAAAATGCACAATCACTCTCCTGATAGGACCCCCCCCCCCCCCCCCCATACACACACAAAGAGGCTGAGGCTCAGTAGAACACTATTCTGCACATTCTATTCAGAATACTCACAATGAAATAAATATGAAGGGCTAGGCAAGTGTTTCTTACTAAAATAAGAACCTTTACACATTTGCACTCTTCACATTATCCATTCCATCAGGTAGTATTTCTCATAATACGTAGAGGTGCCAGCAGTGCTCAATATGATCAGTAGGGGTCTGTGTAAAATGTGCTTCAATGAGTTTTACAAGTCTCCATTTTTTCCAGATTGAACTAAAATCTGAATTGCAGGAAAACGCTTTTGCTTGCACTCACCAGATCCCTTTTACCAGCCACTGATCTCCCTTTCTGATGCCCTAGCACTAAAGGTCCGTGAGATATGTAATGCCTTTCCTTGGAAAAACTGTCTTTTCCATGGAGCACCAGGCTGGTCACCCTGATGTACTGATATGTAGTATGCTAGTTTATTGATGGAAGGGCAGCCTTTTTAAAGGGAAACAGGGAGGGAAAGTTTTAAAGAAGAGCTTGATGAATATGAAACTGGGATGGGTTATTTGCCTTTTTTGAGGGAGAAATAACTTTGCTCATTCCCAACTCAATGTAATGTGAGCAGGGTGGAACTTGCCCATCTCTAATTATTTATAATGTTCCACGATCCTCTGGGGCATGCAAGAATTTCACACAGGATTCCATTTGGTTTACAAAGTATTATTTGATTTTTAATACTCTGATTTGGCATGGGCAGCAGCATTCTTTCTGCAAGTGTATACATGGAATGGAGCTGCCCATGCCAAAGAAACTTGAAAGAAATAACTGCTATTGACTTAGAAGGTCCAGCAGAAAGTGAGAGCATACTGTCCTGAACTTTGGTGCTCTTGATAGGCTATGGAAGGACATGCTACTATTTTGGACTGTCCAGGCTAGAAGTCATGTGAATGTCTGCTACACATTGATTTTGGCTTTAGCTGGCATTCATTCTTCTTTGAATTTTCTGGAGTGATGTTGTAACTTTGCAGGAGCTAAGCAAGTTTGGCTCTAGGCAGTGTCTGGATAGCAGTGTGCCTGGAAATTCTAGGTAAGCCAACTTGAGTTCATGAAGAAAAGTGTGATATAAATTGCAACAGAAGTTTACAAGTGAATCTGCTACAAAATGCTTGCCTATAAATGCACCTACCTGTTTATGGTTGTCTGGAACCTTGCGTTTCTCTGCGATAGTCCCTTCAAGCTTCCTGCCACCCAAACAGTTGATCTGAATCCCTTGACTACTGAGCACACTGATTCCCCATTGGTTAGTTTTTGATATATATATTTGTGCAGCTTCAAACATGTGGATTCTCCACCTCTGTTCTGTGCATCCATGATTCTTTTTTAGCTGTGTTAACGACTCAGAATATTTAAATTGCTATTAGCATATATCATGATGTTGATTAATTATGTTGCTTAAAATTGGAGGGATGATTCCAGGTTGGTGATTACTTGGTACTGATACAGCTTTGTATGCTGGCTGCCTTGATTGCCATGAGTCATCACAGGACTGCATTTTTTGAAAATTAATTTCATGATGCTTAGCATCTGTGGACCATGTGAAATATTCAGAGTACTGCTAGAATTAATCCTCTAAATTAACTGCCATTAAACTATAAAGCTTTTTTATAGTTTATTCAAAAAATTCTTCTGTTAACTGTATGTTTGCTGATCCATCCTAATTTTTCTGTGCAACAGGTTCCCAAGGAAAGTGTTTTAAGTGCATATGTTAAATGATAGGTCAGAACTGATACCCTTAAGGGCATTGAGCATTTCATAATGTACAAAGATCAGAACTTCTTTCATGTCAGGGTGGAAGGAATAGAATGGTATAACAGTCTGTCTAGCACTATGATCCGGATTTGCTGTCCAAACTACAGCATTCTGTCCAGATAATGATCATCAGTAATGAAATCCTTTTTTGCCAGTCAGGAATTTTGGAAGCCAGCTTCTGGCAGTTTCTTTGCCAGTTAATGAAGCATAGTTTATGGGTAGAGAACTCCCTTCCATTTAGACAGATGGACCTAATTGGGTTCTCATCATTATACAGCTGAGAAGGTAGTTTGGAAAAAACCATGCGAGTTGTATTAGTTCACATCAAAGATGCAGAACTGTAAGGTGTGTTAAATAGACATGAACAAATGCAAGTCAGAACTGCAGATGGTCAGATAGTTCTTCCTTCCA